AAAACAGGATGCTTCAATAGGCTGTCTATAAGAGATATATATATATAAAAAAAAATGGAGACGTCTAAATGCCTATCAACAGAAGAATAGTTAAACTTTGATACATACACACAACAGAATACTATGCAATGTTGAATACTGATGAATCTGTGAAATACCTCACAACATGGATGAAGCTGGTCGACATTATGCTGAGTGAAATTAATCAATCACAAAAGGATGAATATCACATGAGACCAATGTTATAAAAAATCAAGAAAATGTTTTCTTGTTAAAAGAAATTCTATGATCATTTGGAGAGAGTAAATGCAAGTTAATATGGTTGACAGGGCAGGCAATATACAACGAGGGAGGTTAGAGGAAAGATGAAGGTAACAGGAGACACAAACAGGAGGAATGCAACAGTTAAAGTGAATAGAGGTAAACTATTGTACATGGAGGGGATTGTAATCACTGCAATAAAGCAAAGTATATTATCTGATGAATATCAAACTGATGCCCTGCTCTGTAAACCTTCACTCAGTTCACAATAAAAAGTTTTCTTAAAAAAGCACAGTTAATGATAAGTAACACTGGGCCACCCACCACCATACGTAAGGGTAAAATAAAGTCCACTGTGAAGACTTTAAACTGATCTCAGAGCTTGACAAATATCTCCCAGGTTGTACTGAAAATGTTGTTAGGTACCATGGAGTTGGTTCCAGTTCATAGTGACCCTATGCATAACAGAATGAAACACTGCCCAGTCCTGTGCCATTCTCGCAGTTCTTACACTTGAGCCCACTGCTGCTGCCACTGTGCCAATCCATCTTGTTGGGTGGGTTTCCCTCTTTTTGATGACCCTCCCACTTTACCAAGCATAATGTCCTTCTCCAGGAACTGATCCCTCTTGATAGATGTCGAAAGTATCAGAGACGAAGTCTGGTCAACCTGTCTTCTAAGGAGCATTGTGACTGTACTTCTTCCAACACAGATTTGTTTGTTCTGCTGGTAGTCCATGGTAGCTTCAATAAGCCAAAGGAAAAAAACTAAAAAACAAATTCCAAACCTTCTTGAACCTCTAACCTATTTCACAGGCCACAATGAAAGGGGACGCTGTGGCCCAAACACAAACTCCATGCCTGTGAAGGTATTAGCAGTGGTCCAGTACCTGCTGGAAATAAGCCTGCTGCCTTTCATTGTCTTGGAACTGCAAAGGTCAATAGAAGAAGTCAGATTTCTCAAAGGTGATAATCATTGGTCAGACACTTGACTCTTCCTGTCAACAGCTCTCTGTTGATCTCTATGTTGTTACGTGCTGTGGCATCTCTTCCAACTCAAAGCAATCCTTATAGGTTTTCTGAGGCTGTAAATCTTTGTGGCAGAGAAAGCCTCATCTTTCTCCCAGAGAGCGACTGGTGGACTCAAACTGCAGACCTTGAGGTTCGCAGTCCAGTGATTTTACTACAGAGTTCTATACTACTGAAGAAACAAATTACAATAAATCCAAAGGGTTTCAATCCTTCTTACTAAGGATTGAAAGAACTGACGAGCATTCAGAACAATTTGGCAACACTAGCATTCTGGGAATTGATGTTTGTGTCACTTAGACAATTGTGCCTCTTAGAAATAATATTATAGGTATGATATTTATTTAATATTTGTTATATAATGTATACAATTTACAGATGGAGCACAGTGGCTCTGAAGGGAGCACTGGATTGCTAGCCACAAGGTCTGTAGTTCGAGCCCACAAACTGCTCCACAGGAGAAAGATTAGGTTTTCTTTCTTTCTTTCCCTTTCCCTTTCCCCTTTCCCTTCCCTTCCCTTAATACAACCCTGTTGCACACCTTTCTTAATTTTAAACCATTCAGTATTTCCATGTTCTGTTTGGACAACTGTCTCTTGGTCTGTGTACAGATTCCTTATGAGCATAATTAAGTTTTCCGGAATAGTCATACTTCGCAATGTTGTCCATAGCTTGTTACAATCCACACAATCGAAAGCCTTTGCATAGTCAATAAAGCACAGGTAAACATCTTTCTAATATTCTCTGCTTTCAGCCAAGATCCAATGGACATCAGCAATGATATCCCTCGTTCCACAGCCTTTTCTGAATCTGGATTGAACTTCTGGAAGTTCTCTCTCAATGTATGCTTGCAGCTGTTTCTGTATTAACTTTAGTAAAGCTTTACTCGCATGGGATAACAAAGAGATTGTCTGATGATTTCTACATTCCATTGGGTCAACTCTCTTTGGAATGGACACAAATATGGATCTCTTCCAATCAGTTGGCCAGACAGTTGTTTTCCAAATTTCATGGCAGAGATGAGTGAGTGCCTCCTGTGCCGCCTCACTTCCTTGAAAGATTTTAATTTTTTTTCCCATCAATTTCCTGGTGCCTTGTTCTTTGCCAATTCTTTCAATGCATCTTAGACTCCTTCTTCAGTATAATTGGCTCTTGATCATATGCTACCTCTTGAAATGGTTGAACAATAACCATTTCCTTTTGGTACAGTGATCCTGTGTATTCCTTCCATCTTCTTTTGATACTTTCTGCATCTTTAAATAATTTGCCCAGAGAATCCTTCAATAACAAAAGTCGAGGATTGAATTTTTTCTTCAGTTCCCCCAGCTTGAGAAATGCTGAGCGTGTTTTCTTCCTTTTTGGTTTTCTGACTCCAGATCTTTGTACATTTTGTTGTAATATTTGGCTTTTATCTTCTTGAGATGATCCTTGAAATTTTCTGTTCATCTCTTGTACCTCCTCATTTCTTCCATTTGCTTCAGTATCTCTACACTGGAGAGAAAATTTCAGAGTCTCTTCTGACATCCATTTTGACTTTTTCCTTCTTTCTTGTCTTCTTAATGACTTTTTGCTTTCTACCTGTATGATGTTCTTGATGTCATCCCACACTCTTCTGGTCTTCAGTCTTTAGTGTTTAATATATCAAATCTGTTCTTCAGATGATCTCTATATTCAGGTAAGATATATTCAAGGTCATATTTTGGCTCTCGTGGACTTGTTTTCATTTTCTTCAGCTTCAGTTTGAATTTGCATATGAGCAATTGATGGTCTGTTCCACAATCTGCCCCTGGCCTTGTTTTGACTGACGATTTGGAGCTTTTCCATTGTCTCTTTCTGAAGATGTAGTCAATTTGATTTCTGTGTATTCCATCTGGCGAGGTCCATGTGTATAGTTGTCTCTTATGATGGCTAAAAAAGGTATTTGAAATGAACAAATCATTGATTTTTCAGAATTCTATCATGCATTCTCCAGCATCAGTTCTATAACCAAGGCCATATTTTCCAACTACTGATCCTTCTCTTCCTCTTTGTTCCCAGCCTTTGCATTCCAATCACTGCTAATGATCAAAACATCTTGATTGCATATTTGATCAATCTCAGATTGAAAAAGTTGGTAGAATTCTTCTATATCATCCTCACTGGCTCTAGAGGTTGGTGCATAAATTTGATTAATATTGGTATTAACTTGTCTTCCTTGTAGGCGCATGGATATTATCATATCACAGACAACGTTGTACCTCATGATTGATCTGGATATGTTCTTTTTGACAATGAATGCAACACCATTCCTCTTCAATTTGTCATTCCCGGCATAGTAAACCACATGGTCATCAGATTCAAAATGGCCAATACCGGTCCATTTCAGCTCACTAATGCCTAAGATATTGATGTTTATGTGTTCCATTTCATTTTTGACAATTTCTCATTTTCCTAGATTCATACTTTGTACAGTCAATGTTCTGATTATTAATGGATGTTTACAGCCGTGTCTCTTCATTTTGAGGTGTGCCCCATCAGCAAATGAAGGTCCTATGGGCTTTACTCCCACGGGCTTTACTCCATTCGCATCATCATGGTCAAGTCTACTTTGAGGAGGTAGCTCTTCCACAGTTTCATTTTGAGTGCCTTTCAACCTGAGGGGCTCTTTTTCCGGCACCATATCTGACAGTGTTTCTCTGCTATTCACAAGGTTTTCAGTGAGTAAATATTTGGAAGTAGTTCATCACTCTTTCTTCCTAGTCTTTCTTCATCTGGAAGCTCATCTGAAACCTGTCCACCATGGGTAACCCTGCAGGTATTTAAAATATCAGTGGCATAGCTTCCAGAATAGCAGCAACTCACAAGCTACCACAGTATGACAAACTGACAGATGTGCGGTGGAGAGCCCATAGATTACAGCAAACCTAGCCAGTCCAGCAGCTTAAAGATCTGTCCAGCATAGCCCATTATAGAATACCAACACTACACCGGCCAATCCACAGACTCACGGAAAAGAAATATTCACTGTTGCATGTGGCTAGATTGTATGGTTGTTTATTATGCAACATTACGATTTGATGGCACTTAATAACAACAACATTGTGGTAATAGCAATGACTATATCTGAGTAAAGGGGTCCTGGTCCACACTGTAGGACAAGACCCAACCTCTAACCACAAAGTTAGTGTTCAAACCCACTAGCCACTCCTCGGAAACCCTATAGAGGGTCATTATGAGGCAGAACTGATTTGACAACACTTAGCAATAACCATATCTGTGTAAGGAGTTAATAGTGATTTTTAACCACTTTCCTTGTACTTTGTCTCCTGAGTGGGTATTTTAGAATGTGTTACTTTTATAATCAGAAAAAAAAACTATTTATTATGAGATAAAAAGGAGGGCAAAAAAAGGCAATTG